ATATAGAATATATAGGAATAAAATATATGACAGAATTGAAAAATTAATTTAGCATCTATAAGCAAAATTTTTGCCAACTGAAACATTTCTCTTTATTATAACCAATGACTCTTCTTTTGGGAGCATGATCACTTGGGTAACAATAACCCTTTCTTGGTTTAGTGCATACATATTGAGTATACTTGTAGGTGGCTCACTTTGCTTTGTGCTCCTCTTTTTAAAATGGTACAAATGATAAGAATGAACTCTATATCAAAATGAAACAAAACTTTTGAGTGGATTGGTGTTCCTTGGAGCATGGTTTTATGGGAGTAGTCTTTAGCTATTTCTACCAGTGAAGACTTTAGAAACTATCACACTATTCATAGAATGACCCTTTAAAATAAAACTATTTTGTAAACTGTACTGCTAAGAGATAATGTATAATGTTAGGCAGTGACTTTCTTAATCCTCCTCTCCCTGTTTTGTTTTTTCCTTTTAAGCGTTTATTTGAGCGACTGCTTTTATAAGTATCAAATTTTATTTAAATTGTTTCCCTTTTCTATTCATTTGTTTTCCTGATGAAGGAAAAATTACATTCATGCCTTTGGTTTAAAATTTATTAAATTTCCTTTTGTTGGTGTTTTTCTCTTTGTTTCTCTCTCTGAGCCCCATTTTTCTCATGTTCCCTGTATCCTTGTTTTCTGGACACTGGCCCAATCCTGAAGACCAGAGCCCAATTTCTGGAGCGAATTACAAATAATTGAGCCTTGGGACTAATGTACCATCTCATTTCAAGCACCAGGTCTTTTGATATTGATGAAACACTGAATCAGGAGCAATGAAGATTAAACCCCTGCTTATTTTTTAAAGTGCCATTAATTCTTTTTTACTAATACCTCTATACACTAAACAGCCAAAAGACAAAAACAAAACCCATGCCACAAATAAATGTTCATCTTCATTGCTGCCAACGCATAAACACATTAATATTAAATAACTAGTTTTCGAAACATTACAAAAAGGTTTTTCCGGCTGAGTCACTGAGAAACATCTTGCATACATAGGATTTTTTTTAGCATAGAGGGGAAAAAACACCTGCCACAGCTCATCTCTCTAAACCAAATAAACTGTTAGGGAGGTGGTAGGAAACAGTGAGAATTATAGTTGCCTAATACACAAAATCTTTTCTGATTTAAATATCTCTTTACATATACAAAATAGCAGTCACTATTTTAAACATAAACCCCGGTATCAAAATATGACTAAGACACGTTGGTTCTGCTTTTCCATTTTTATTTATTTATTTAGTTTTGACTTTTAAATTTTTATTGTTGAAAGTATTACGTCTGTCCCCCTTTTAAGCTCTCATTTCTTAAGTCTTAAATAGGAATTTGTGCCAGTAGAGAATTGTGTGATTGTTTATTAAAAATAAAAATATTTGGGTATCTATCATTTTTAAGCCACATATAGAAAATCTCCGAACTGGACATGGCGAATGGAAGTTGTGTTAATCAGGATTATCTCAATGCCTACTTCACATCCGTACTTCCCCTAGTCCTTGCGGCTGGGCATAACTTAATTCAGTGAGCCATGTAGGCATTAATTCAACAAATAATTGACAGGTAACTATATATCATCTGCAATGGGTGCTGGGGATAAAGTCATGAGGAAAGCACTGCCCTGAGGACACTTCCATTCCAGTTGAGCAGGGGAAACACACTTTTGTAATGCAAAAAAGTATTCAGTACAAGTGAGATAAAGACATAGATTAACCAGGGAAGATGCATTGAGAATGGCTGGGTGGGCTGCATTTAGAAAGAGCCTGACCAGGATAGGACACACCCAGAGAGGACATCTGAGCAAAGACTTGAAGAAGTCATTACAAGGGCACATGGCTATAGAGAACTATATTCCAGGAAGAAGGACAGCCAGTGTAATGGCCCTGAGACAGAGGCCACTGGACAAGTCATGTTCTAGGAATAACACAGAGCTTAGTCTGAGTCCACTGGATTGGCCAAAGGAGAGAGAATTAGGAAATACAGGCATAGTAACGGCAGAGTGCCCGATGATGTACATTTATGGAGACTGTTACATGGTGCTGGGCTTTTACTCTAAGTGAAAGGGGAACCTATGGAGAGTTTTGAGGAAGTAATCCAAGTAGAGATGATGGTATTTGTATTATATTTTCACCTCCAGAGATGATTGGACTCCAGTGAGGCGTATGTGTGTATGTTTAGTTATATATAGAGATAAACCAAAGTAGGTTTACCATTGTGAAGCACAGAGTTTATTCCTGAATTATTATTTTTATGTCTTTTTCCATATGAACAACTGTAAACCTACTTTTGCCTGCCCCTGTATATGTAACTATACATAGAGATGTATCAAACCTTTAAGGTGGGCATGGCTCATAGGATTTATCTCCAGTGCCAACTCTCGTCTGTTGGTAGTGGCTGCCAGGTGTGCTGCGATGACAAAGAGTCTGAGACCGCGTTCTGGCTCAGAGGGAAAGTGTCCCGCAGTGAGTGAGGTGGTGTGGAGGTGATATCAAGTATGTTCAATCTCTGTTCAAAGGCAACTGTCACTAGTAGATTTTAAATAGCAAAGACTTTCTTTCTCTTGGCTTAGAACACATAAACTATCACTTAACAGTAATTGCTACAATAGCAGTACCTGAAAAGGTTTTTAAAATGGCACTTTCACCAAGAATTTTCTTCATCAAGATATCTGTTCCTTAGCACTAAAGAACAAAATGTACCTCATTTTCTATAGTCTC